CTGCTGGGATCCATTGAAGTATCAATATATTTGAAGTAGTAACAACGTCCTCAAATCCCTTCCACCTCACCCTCCTTCGTTCCTCTCTTCATCACGTTCTCTTTCTCTATATAAATCCTTCTTGGATCTTGCTACCTTCATACCTAAAAAAATCTCATGATTTCTAAGTCCTTAATTTAAAACTCAGTGGCAATTGCTTATTTAATTTTAAGAATTTTCCTTTCATCATCACCAATAAGAATCATATCATCCACATATACTATCAATATAACAATTTTACCTCTTGAGGGTATTTTATGAACAATGTATGATCAACTTGATTATGAGAATATCCCTTAGATCTCATAATTTTAGTAAACCTTTCAAACCATGCCCTTGGTGACTACTTAAGACCGTATAGTGACTTCCTGAGTTTGCATACTAAGTGTTTGTTGGAACCATTCTCAAGTCCTAGTAATATCTCTATGTATGCTTCTTCTTTAGGATCCCATTCACGAAGACATTTTTATGTTAATTTGATGCAATCTCCACTCCTTTTAAACTGCTGCTCAGAGGAGAACTCTAATAGTTTTCTATTTGGCAACGGATGGAGAGGTTTCCTAACAATCAATGTCAAAGGCTTGAATGAAACCTTTTACAATCTCTTAATATCATCATAAACTCTATAATTGATGTTGAATACTCATTTGCATCCAACTGGTCTCTTATCATAAGAAAGCTTATTTTAGTGTTTAAATCTCCTCTTCAACTGCATTCGTCCATTTTAAAATTTTAAGAGTTTGATGAATGAATTTTGAATATTGCACGCTATCAAGGTTAGATAAAAAAGCTTTATAGTGTGAGGATAGTTGGGCTTTTTCAAATTTGACGTCCACTTGCTCAATGTTTTTCTTCATCCTTATTTACACACGAAGTTCTTTATTATGAACTTCCAGTAAGTAGGAAATTTCCATGCAGTGGTGTTTGGGAGATAGAATGGATAGGTGGAAGAGAGGTGGGTTGTGAAGTAGTATGTGTCATTAAGTGGATCGCAAAATTGATATTCATCTGCACTCTCCTGTTGAATATCAGATTTGAGATAGTATGATTGATTTTCAAAAAAATATGACATACATGGAATTGTAGAATTCCCCAGTAACACTTGAGTAGCACGTATAATCCTTGTTATTGGAGCATACCTAAAAAAATACACTTGATGAGTTTGGAAGTCTTGTGCAATTGAGGAATGGACGTGAACCGAAGATGCACCAAAAAATTTTAAGTGGCACAATAAAAGAGAAAACTCTGATGTGGGGATTGGTATCCATCAAGACATGAAGTTGTGTTAAAATTAAGTACTCGGCTAGGCATTTGTTTGATAAGGTATGTTTTAGTAAGGACTACTTCCTCCCAAAATTATTTTGGAACTTTATGGAAAATCATAATTGAGCATGATATCTCGAGAGGATGTCAATTCTTTTTTTAGCTATTCTATTTTGTTGCGGGATATAAATATATGAACTCACATGGATGATTATATTTTTTTAAATGTAGGATCCTGAGATGGAGTTGAAATATTTTTTTGCTTTATTAATTATGAAAATCTAAAATTTGCATTGAAATTCCGTTTGAATCATGTCATGGAAGAATTAGAACATTGGGCTTTTTCAAATTTGTCCTTCATTAGAAATACTGAAGTGCATTTAGTGTGATCGTCAATGAATGAGACAAGCCATCTAACACCACTTAGGGTTCTTATTTTTGAATGTCCCCAAATATCACTGTGAATAAAGCATTTTTATTGAGTCATGGGATAAACATTTCTAGTCTATTTGTTAAGTTGACAAGTCTCACACTGATAAGTGCTAGATTTTTTTGATAAAAAACGAGGATACAACTTTACAGAGTAATTGAAATTAGGATGACTCGGGCAACAATGTCATAATATGACTTATTTTCAACAGCCATAGACTCAATGCTCAGAGAATTTAGGAAATGATGAAGGTTAGATAACTTCTGTGTTTAGAGAGAGAATTTCCTTGAGCAGGTACAAGTCTTAATGTATTTCAACACTATCAATCACCTTCCCCACATCCACAACTTGAAACTAATAAGAATTAAAAAAAAAAATTATAAATTTTATATCATGAGTAAACGTACTGATTGAAATAAAACAAAATAAATAGGAATATCCTATAAGAGATCCACCTTTGCTTTTCCAATAATTTTTAGTGTGTTCTATGTATAAGTCTGATATATGTAGACGTAGAAACCTCTTAATAATTGACTTGAGCATTTATGTCTTCAGTCATATGATCAAAAGCTACTGCATTGATGATCCAAGGTCTAAATCTCTTCTTGCTAAGAAGATAGGAGAAGAAAATATTACCTTGATGTCACGAGGCTGGTGTGATATTTTGAATTACCCCCAAATGAATTTTTTCAATACTTCAAGCTGCTCCATGGCAAATGGGTCAAATGACACTTCAGACGTGGTAGTAGCATTAACCTTGCTCTTTTGATCTTTTCTTGCATGTCTAGGTTTCCAATCTGTCGAGTTTTCCATAGAGTTTCTAACATTGCCTTAGAGTGTCCAATTTTCTTGCAATAATCACATGTGAGACGATTCTTCTTGAACTTTGAGTCATGGGAAGAATTATGATGGTACAGAGCTGAACTTACAATATTTGGTGAACTCCTATTTCAAGTTGTCGTAAGCTTCTTTCTACTCTTTTCTCTTCTAACATCAACAAAAGCTTCACGAGTAGATGGAGGAGGCTTTATTCCTATAATACTCCCTCTCACTTCATTCAATTCCTTAGTCCTACTAAGAATTGGAGAGTATTCTTCTTTATGATGATGGATTTATACATTACGACATCATGTAAACATTTACACACGTTTGGATCACATTTAATTGTATCCAATACTTTGTCAACATGTTGAAATATTGGGCGATACTTAGCTCTCCTTAACGAAAATCATGTTCTTTGGCTTAGATCTCCAACAACTCTACAATATTTCTAGTATTGGAACAAGTTTCTATTGCAGCCTCATAGATTTCTTTGTTTGTTTTGTGGAGTATGAAATTTTCTCCTACTTCGATGTCATTGAATTAACTAGCCAAGACTGACAACAGAGTTAACCCAAACCACTACAAAAATGAAAATATTATTTTTGAAATTTAAAAGGGATTACAATAAAAAATACTTAAACTTCCGAAAAAAATAACAGTGGGATCACGGATTTGTAGGAGAGAGAGAAGGCTGAACGGTGGAGGTTGCAAGGACTAAAGTATGGGAGATGTAGGTGATAACAATAGTGGGAGGTATAGGGAAGGGCGTCAGGACAGTAACTAGCAGCCATAGGCGGAAGGGATATGAACACAGGCTTGGAGGGGATTATGGTGGAGGGTGGTTGGATAACAACTAGCAGTAGTATATGGAACGAGATAAGCCTCAACAGCAGGTGACAAGGGTTCTGGATGTGATTACGATGCAGGGAGGATGGTTGGACAACAGGTTGAGGTGCAGGAGAAATATTGCGGTAACAAGTTGTGAGGTTGGAGTTGCGAGGTAGTAGGGAAGAATCATAGGGATGGAGAATGGAAAACAAGAACAAGAAGGTGCATAGGGTGGTGGGAAGCAAGCATGTGAGTGGAATAAGGAAGGATACAAATCACCTCAGGACGAGTTATAGCCGGAGCACCTTCTCGCTATCGGATACAACCCTATAGGAGAAAAAGGGGATGTCGACGGTTGTCCTCACAGAAACATGCTGCAAAATTAACCCTAAACACAACAAGCAGCCTATTTATAATGAAAAGATAACTAGGGAGGTCCCCCTTCGGGCGACAACAAGTTCCTGGCCTGCCGGTTCAGCCTCCTTGCTGAACTGATAGCCCGTTGTTGAATCAAGGCCCGATTCAGCCCCATCAACCCCCGAGCCAAAGACATAATCACATGGGCTTGAATCTTCCATGTACGAAGGTTATGAGCAGTGAGTTTGGAATATGTGTTCTCTCCCATTTCCTCTTTTCCCATTCCACAAATTTACAAAAATACAAACTAGAACCATTGAAGGAAGTTATGACCATTGATTTTATGATTTGTGATAAAAATATAGTGTCCAAGGGTTGTTAGAACAGAATTTCTTGTTTCCGATTCAAAAATAACCTCCGAGTAGAACTAGACGTATTCATTCCATACGTGTTCATAAAACCTATGCACTTTTCGGGTTGGATAAGGGAAAAAATGGTTGGCTGCTGCTTGCTGACAAACTCTTGCTGCAGGATTCCTAGCTCTTGTTCTGATGTTGTGCTCTTTGGAAGGCCGGTCAGTTGGGCTAGGAAGGATCAATGGATGGGGGCTGACTGGTTAGGATAGATCAGGAAGGAAGAGAGTTTGGGAGGCCAGCTAAAAAAAGAACTTGCGGTTGTTTTGCTTGCTCGGGAAGGAGCAATTGGGTCAACGAAGGATGGCCTGCAGGCTGGGTGGAGCTCTACAGGGAGAGGAAAGAGCAAGGGAGGGATTGCAAAGAGACTGACGGCTGTAGGAGAAATTTAGAGTTGACTGACGGCTGTAGGGGAAATTTAGAGTTAGGGAGGGCTTGCAGGGAGATAGTGCTCTCTTAGTTCTTATTCAAACTCTTCAACTATAAAGATTTATATACAGACCACATAATTTCTATATATTTACCTATCTTTTATCGGGTTTATATATATATATATATATATATATATATAGGGATATTGGTCCCTCCTCATTTACCATCCTAAGCATGGAAAGGAAAGAATTCTAAAGAAATATAAATAGGAAGAGAATAAAACTAATCAATAAGTTTCCCAAATTGTCTCCAATTAATAAGAAGGGCGATCCACCTATATTTTCACAATTACCACAGGAAGTGCTATAGCTTTTCATCAGATAGTTTGGTGAGAATATCAACAACGAAATCAAACATGAATAACATGAGAAAATAAAATATTTCAATCTAAAATTATTTCAAGTTTGCAGTGGTACCTTTGGAGAAACACCAAATGGAATATCAAACCGTAGCTCCAAAGGCATAGATGTAGCATTCAATAGTATAACCTGGAAATATTTGAGAGTAAGGATCTGGACAGAAATAATAAGATCATGTGAGAAAATGCAAGCACCTACTGTTGAGTACAATCGTATCATCTTGCTGTAATGCAGCATAGAAACCTCAAAAACCACAGGAACTACTAATCCTTTTATGTGATCATCAACAGTACCCCTTTCCTCAGTCGTCCAACTGTATTTTGAGGCATTTTCATGCCCGTCTATATCCACATTTCTTGCTTGGCTATTGTTAGAGAAGTTCACTTCAAAGCAGCTCACACCCACCATATCCATTGACAAGGGCTTGGAAGGCCTAGAAGTCCCATCAAACTGGATGGAAATCATATGATGTGATGAAGCAGTAAGTTTCTTCTCAACAAGTAATTCAGAAGAATGTGCTGGTCTGTGCCGAAAAAATTGTTCATCTTGTGTTTCTTCAACATAAATTGGAATGGAAAAACCAGGTTGGACAACACTAAGATCTCCGTTGGCCAAACTTTGAATATCTTGTGTATTGACAAGGCCACGGGAAACATGGAACGTCAAAGGCAATGAAGTGTCATTATGGAGAATATATGGTGCATATCTTCTGGTATGCATATTGTCGTTTGACAGATTTCCAAATTTTCCAAGAGTTTCATGTTCTTCAGCGCTCTGATTCAAGGCATCACTGATCATTTCCTGTAACCTAAATAAAGCCTGCAAGGAGTTCTAGGAGTTATTTCAAAGTGTAAAAAAATAAATAAAATGCGACCACTCGAGGGATGGCAGCGATTTGTAAAAGTGGATCAAATAATATGTAAACGAAAGGATTTAAGCTTAAAACACAAAAACAAACTTGATGTAATGAAAGGATAAAAGGCAAAGTACATCAACTCCTTTTCACACCAGTTGCAGCAATAAAAGGCCAAGCATTGAGTAAAAACTTTTTAAGAAGCTTGAAAATATTTGCAGCTCCAAAAGTTCTAAATTGTTAACCTACATATGACAAACATTTGTAATAACATACTCAAATGTTTCACAATCATGATTCCGTCTAAGCACTAGCTGCACTTAGCCATGCAGCCATTTGCCTGGTCCCATGACTCAACCATCTTATTGAAAACAGTTTTCTTTTTCCCCTTCAAAAGTGAATTATAAGTTTAACAAAAGAGTTGTGGGGATGCATAGGGAATTAACTCCAACTTTATAACGACTATTAGGGTTTAAGATTTGACTTGCACTGTTGGTATATGCTGCCAAAAAAAAAAAAAAAAAAAAAAAAAACGCTGGAGAGCTTTTTAGCATATGAATAATTTATTAATTTTAAACGTGCTAAATAATTCATAAAGTTCACACATTAATTTTTATTCTACAAATTTACATAAATAAGAGAAATTAGTTGGATAAAAAAAATCTATAAATGAACTCAATGTTCACCAATTATATAAGATTTTTAAAATAAGATTCAATTTGAGACGAATTATTGATCCAATTGGTTTGTATGTGGTTAGCTTAGGAAAGAGAGGACACTAGTGAGGAAAGATATGGCGACCTTACTAAAGAAAATTGTAGAGGAATCATAAAATTTCTATCAAACACTCTGATGTGGTAGCTCTCCCACAGTATCACAGATTGTGGAAATCCGTGATACCAGGATCTTAATGGGACCATTTTTCGTCCCGTTATAGTCTCGAGTGAGAATTTCATCCCTTGGCTATTTTAGCGTTGTGAAGCCTTCCTTATTAGTATTTTTAATATTAATTTAACTAGAATTAGATTTATTTCTACAGGGAAACTATTTATGTTTTATTTTTTACTTTGGAGAGATTTTTGGCTTTGATTGGGTGTTATAGAGATTGAATCTTTGACCTCTACCCTAAGAAGTGTTGTATCTTTTTCCTTTTGCAAGAGAAGAGTTTGTAACTTTAGTAGGAATATGTTTGAACCTCCACGAAATCCGTATCACATCCTTTCGTGGATCTCTTCGTTGTTTTCAGCCAGGACAACCGACGATCGATGCCGAATATAATGCACAACAATAGATTTTGCCTCTACCTCTTCCAAAAGTAGTCGTATCACATAGTTTCACTTCCTCGCTAATCCACAATCCCTTCCCTACTAAATCCTGTTATAAGGAATCTTTTAGGAGTCCTAGAACGGTATCATCTGACACCAGAGCTAGGTAGCCCTAAATTTTTAGGGATTCTTCTTTCTTGTCCCAAACTAAAATTAAAAATAAATAAATAAATAAATAAATAAATATCCCCACCATACACTAACCATTCCTACCGCAATTTCGAGCATGTGAATTTTCAAAAGCCAACTTTCCTAGCTCAACAAAAATCCACCTAGAAACATACGATTAAAACCTAAGACTCCAACCAATATGGATTTCCAATCCTATATTTGTCAAAACCCTGATTGAGAAAGCAATGACATAATGCCACCTAACAAAAATACTCAAAAGATGTCCAAGAACTTACTATAGATGATATATAATGAGAAATCCTTCAACTGCTCGGGATCGAATGCTTGAGGTGAAAGTTGTCATCATCGAAGGCGATACCAAAAATGGGTTAGAGTTCCTCGGAAGCAGCATGGAGCAGCACAGATGGAGTAGACATCCTCCTCACAGTCCTGATATTGCTTTTCTTTTGGAATACAGACAGGTATTATTTCATTTTGTTCCCCGTCTCTGTAACTGTGTTGGTCATTTTAGTCCATAACAAGCCATGCTTGATAATTTTTTGTTTTCCTCTAGGGAAGAGCCAGGTGATTTATTTGCCCTCTTAGCACAGTATAGGTCGTACTTCTTTTATGCCTCTGAGGCATAGTTTTGCTGGTTTTTTTCTTATGCCCGCGGAGCATTGTTTTGTATGCCTTTTGGAACCTTTAATTTTATATATTAATGAAAAATGCAAACCCTTCACGAAAAGGTGTTTGTTCCATAATCAGGCTCACGAACCAGTTGTAGGCAAATTTGGCCCTGGCTAAGAACAGGTTCCACTGCTTGATGTTCTTTCCTATGAAGAACCACAGAGATTTCTCAGGCTCGTGTTCATCACTTCCCTCTGATCATTTGCCCGTGGATGAACTGTCGAGTTGAATTGGAGTTTAGTGCCAATCTTTTCCAACAAATTCTTCAGAAGTGACTAAAAAACTTGACTTATCTATAAGATGTAATAGTCTAGGATATTCTATTCAGCCTCACGATCTCCATGAAGTAGAAATCAGTGACAAGGGTTGTGTCCAACATCTTGTGACACGATAAGAAATGAGCACCTTCGAGAATCGATCAACCATGATCATCACTGAATCATTATTCAAACGGGTTCTTGGAAGACCCACCACAAAATTAATATTGATGTTTACTGAAGGCGTCTCTGGCACCATAACGACATATATAGCCCTGTATTGTTTCCTCAGAGCTTGGATTGGTACTCTGCACTGTCAGATGTATCACTTCACATCTCTTGTTGTCATGAAGAAGAACGCGACCCTTCACTAGCGCAAGTTTTTGTCAAAATGACCCGCTAGTCCTACACGGTGACTCTCTTGAAAATGACTTCCCTTAAAGAATATTTGGGACAGAAATAACTTGCTTTGGCGGAACAGAGAACCATAAACTGTGGTATAGCCCTGTAAGCCTCTCCTAACAATGTTCCAAAGTTTTCTTGAAATCCTCGTCTGCCATGTACAACTCTGTCAAGATCTCAAAAATCCCACCACTCTAGGTAGGTAATCAACAGATGGCGATGGCTCAAGGCATTGAATACTTGATTTTCACTCCTGACCTTATACTTGAGCATGACCTGGAATGACAAATATCGGAGGAGAAAACCCAAATCACAAAAGAAACACATATTATTTTTGAAATTGAAATTGGTTAGGACTCTTCAAAAAATGAAATAGACACAAAGAAACACAAGACACAACCCAACTTCTCAAAAGTGTATCCCAAGGGCAGTAGAGGATGGCCCAGTGGATCCGGAGGCTAGAGACAACAAGGGTGAATGTGGGAGAGGGGGTTCGACTCGGGTTGGAAGCTGAACTAGGGGAGGGAGGCAGCAAATTAAGGTGCAGGAAGGTTTGTTGGGCGGTTGGGAGGTAGGTTGGAAGGTTGGGTAGCAAGCTGGGAAGGTGGGGCAGCAATGAGGAAGGCTCGTTAGCACTTTTGGAGGGTGGACAACGAGCGGGGAAGCACTAGCAGCGATGGGAATGGCTTGGATAGCAAGGAAGACTGCTGGAAGCAGGCCGACAGAGGGCAGGGAGGAATTCTAGGGAGGTGGACAGCAAGATTGGGTTGTTCATGAAGAGCGGCTGACTGCTGGGATGGAGTATGGGGAGCCGCGGCCTTGCTTGGAGAAGACTAGAGCGGGTTGGAGGGAGGATGGAGCTGCACTGCAGCTGGTTGGGTGCAAAGAGGAGGCTAGACAACAGCCTGCAAAGGTGCAGGGTGGAGTCTGGGAGCAGCTGAGGATGCTAGAGTCAGGGTGCAGCAGCGAAAAGAGAAAGGCCAGCCCAAAGAATGCAGGGAAAGGGGTATTGTAGCTGCTGAGACGAGCTATAGCGATTGTTGGATGTGAAGGAAACGAGGACTAGCAGCAGGGAGGCCGACCAGGAGGCTGTTGGAGAGCGGTTGGAAGCAGGACAACAACTATTGGTTGATGGGGAAGAGGTGCGGTGGCTTGCTGTAGGGTTGTAAAGCGGGTGCACAACAACAGAAGGGGTGAAGGATAGATAAATATCTCGATGGGGTCGAGCTACAGCCGGAGCACCACCCGGACTCGTGAAGACGATCATCACCTCAATGAAGAACAACCAGAGCACCACCTCGACATCAGATAGAGTCATCAAAGGGGAAAATATCAAGGCTAAAACCTAAATTCAGATATAAAAATAATACCACTAACTTTAAGCACAACATCCCATATTTATAAAAAAACTAGACTTATTTTAGATAATGAAAATAAGGAGAATAAAATATAAATAAATTTCCAAAATTTAAGAAATTTAAAATAAGAAAGGATTTAAAAAATAAGAAGGGAGAATAAAATATAATCATAATTTTAGATTTTAGGAAGAATTTAAATTAGGAAAGTGCTTGGGAAGGAAGGGTGGAGGGGGAGAGAAAGAAAAGGTGTGGAAGGAAGGAGGAGGAATAAAAGGAAAAGAATAGGAAGGAAAAAGGCAAGGAGGGAAAGGAATGAGGAGGAGGTGGCAACCCCTCTCCCTTGAGGACCGGTCGGTCCTCCCTTGAGCCCCCCTTGAGGACCGACATGTCTGCTCCCGAGCCCCACGTCAATGATGTTAGGAACTTAAGCTAGAAAACATGCCTACCTTTTAGCTTGCTTTGACTATTCAAGAACTTCAACACAACGTGATCTGTGAATAAAGTAAACTTGTTTGTCAGCAGATAATGACTCCAGTTGTGGAGAGCCCTCATGGCGTAGAATTTCTTGCATATGTCGAATACTTTCTCCTAGACTCATTCAATTTGTCACTGATAAAAAAGGCTATAGAGTATCCTACTTGGCTCAACAGTGCTCTTATCCACCTCGAACAACTAGTAGGAATCTGGTAAAGCTAACAATGGGGTCTGCGTCACCTTCTCCTTCAGAGTATCAACATCGGATTGGGTTATCACTATCCACTGAAACTTCTCTCACTTCAAAAGCTATATCAAAAGAGTCATAATGGTGCTGAAGCTATTGATG